CTGTACAATGTCCTGTATGATGTGATGTACGAACAGTTCAATAAAAGTACAGTTCGTCCAAGACAAAGCATGTGACGGCAAAAATTGTCTCTATTGATCGTACAATATGATCAAGTTTGTACAGTACAATCAAATATCAAAATTAAGCCATTTTGTTTGAATAATCATAGGATTAAATTAGGCAATGTTTTAAATATCATACATTACGATCATGATGGTACAGTACGATTAGAACAACTTTTCAAATTCAAATTTTTGCCTAATTTAATGGACGACGGGCTTTCTAATTATAACAGATTGTATAGTACGATATGGTATTCGTACAGTATGATTAGTTATATTTTAAAAATATTTTTTTTAGGAAAATAAAATATTTTAATTAATTTCTGTTACAACTGATCATACAGTACGATCCAGATCGTACCATACGATGTATAGAAAAATTAAAATATTTAAAATCATGTTTTGCTCCCTCTATGTATGTGCACGGTCAACAAACTAACATACATCATTACAAGACTTGACTGAAGAAATGAAAATTACAGACTAGTTTAATATAACCAGTTCTACACAATCTTGAGCCTTGAATCTTCAAAAAATGGTACATGATGTACCTAAAATATTAGTCAACACACAAATAAATTTGCACTACAAACACTAGAATAAATAAAAGATTAATCAATATTATTTGTTATCATCAAAATCATAAACTCAAATGCCCGAGTTACAATAAAATATCCTTAGTGAAGTCTAACTTAGGTATGCCTTTAACTAGAATTTTCTGAGTGATGTTTCTAAGTGTTTTCATACTAGCATGGCATAGTCTCTTATGACATGGTCATGAGTCATCTAATATTATTTTTAAACAAAGTGAATTTGAATTTTCAATGTAATCAAGATCCAATATATAAATATTGTTTATTCATTTTTCTTCTAAAACAAGTTTGTCATTTAAATTAATCAGGCATTTGTTAGAAAGAAATTATATGTCAAAACATTTGTCACATAATTGATTAATGCTTAATAAGTTATTCTTTAAACCATCAACTAATAAAACATTCTCAATTAAAAGATGCTTAGTATTTTCAATAATACCTGAGCCCACCACTTTCTTGGTAGTGTTGTCTCCCAATGTTACTTTGCCTCTTATCCTAGTCTCTAGTATAATGAACTTCTTCAAGTCTCCAGTCATATGTCATGAGCAACCACTATTCAGGTACCACATACACTCTCTAGGTAATTTGTGAGAGCACCCCTACAAAGGCATTCAAGGGTTATATTTGGGAACCCAAGTGAGTTTGGGTTCCTCCTTATGTTTGCATGAATGAGATGTATGCATGTTATGCTGTGATGAATGCAATTTAGGTCTCCGTACTAGGTGTGTCCTGCTGTGAATTGGGCACATGCGGGCTATATGACATAGCATGCCATAAGAGAAGCACCTAACACTGGAAAATGGGTTCACTAACCTATGTGGGTGGTGATGCCTCTTCCTAAAGTTATGTGATGTATGCAATGCCAGGGGTTTAAATGATTCATATTGTTTTGAAGGATTATAAAATTCTTCAAGTGAAGGTGGTTTTTTATTCTCATTCAAAGCCTATAAGTTAACTTGTAATAATTCATTTACATGTTTGGAATTTGCATTCTCAAATTTCAAAAGATGTTCAGTGTTATCTAACTCCCATACAAGTTCCTCTAAACTCTTATATTTATTTCTAATTCAACATGCAATGTTTTCAAGGATTCATGTGCATCAGTTAATTCAATATGCTTCTTATTTAATGCAACAAACTCATCAATCAGAGTCATGTGATCTCTATCTAAAATAGAATTTTCTTTAACTAAGTTAGCATGCTCAGTTTGTAAAGTACTAAAATCAATATTAACACTAGCATGCATTTTCCTTAACTTCATATACGAGTCATGGATTTTCTCAGAAATAAGCAGTAAATCTTCATATAAAATTTGACATGCCTCATCTTGATTCGATTGATCAAGATTATCATTAGCCATTAGACACAAAATTGTTACCTCCTCCTTTACTTCTTCTTCTGACAATTTTGAGGCAGAGTCAGCCCAAAATTCCTTTTGTGTCTTCTTCTTTCCTTTCTTATATTTAGCTTTCTCCTTGCCTATTTCCTTAGTTAGTTGACTATTTAAGTTGGGGAAATCAGCTCGAAGGTGAGCTGGTTTCCTACACTAAAAATAATAGTGTCAGATGAAACTTTAGTAGTTCTCATGCTTTTACCTTTATTCCAGTTATTTTGATGACGCCTTTATTTTCTTTTAAAAAAGTTCTTCAACTGTCGGGTCATTAAAGCTATGTTATCTTCTTCCTCCGCTGTAGAACTTTCACTTTCTGAGTTGTTTACTTTTAATGCCACCGTCCGCTCCTTCTTCTTTTCACCTGCATCACTTTGCCATTGACTCTCTCCTTGCTCGTACAGAAAGAGTGACCCATGCAATTTGTTAATAGAATAAACATTTAAATCTTTAGATTCAATTATTGCAATAATTTTAGCATCATAAGAACTAGGTAAGCATCTAAGAATCTTATTAACTTTTTTTAGAATTAGAAATTTCTCTACCTAATGCATGCAAGGATATCATGATTTGGTTGAACCTAGTGTACATGTTAGATATTGTTTTGCTAGGTTTCATACAGAAGAGTTCATAATCATGCAGTAGAATGTTAAGTTTAGACTGTTTAACCTCACTAGTTCCTTCGTACATGATGCACAGTCTATCCCAAATCTCCTTACCAATAGAACATATAGATACTCTCATGTAATCCTCACATTTTAATGCATAAAAGAAATAATTTAAGTACTTCACATTTAATTGAGCAAAATCCTTATCCTCATTGCTCTATTCGTTAAAAGGTACTTGAGTTTTTATGCCATTGATAAGTTTAAATGGTGCAATATATCCTTTTTTAACTAACATCCACATATGATAGTATATATACTGTAAAAAAGTATACATTCTAATTTTTTAGAAATCAAACAAGATATAGTCATGGGTGGACGGGTTATTTAATAACCCTCTACAGTATTACAATTACCAAAATGAGACATGATCGATTTTTTCAAGATTTTCTAAAACACTATTTTTGAAACCCTACTCTGATACCAATTGAAATTACAAGATGTGCCAAGTGAGGGGTGAATTGGAAATTTATTATAATAAAAAGTCAATCCTAAATAGGAGTTCTAATTTTTTGTGTTTTTAAAATTAAATAAGAAAATTAATTAATCTGGAAGAGAATGCTTAAAACACAATTTGCAATAATAAATTTTACAACAATTTTCACCACACAATTTTAATGAAAATAAAATGCATAATGAAAATAAAATGCAGTAAAGAAAAAATCACACCAGAGATTTTATAGTGGTTCGATCACTTAACCTACGTCCACTCCCTGGAGTCCTCCACTCCAGGAATTTTGCTTCTAAACATTAATTCTCCTTTTGCCCCCATAGGAATCTGGAGAATTCCTTATAAACCTCACTTTCACTAACCCGGCATGGCGGAGAGCCAAGCGCTTTATCACCCTCTTGGTGATGGCAGCGTACCTTCTCATTTTTCTCCCTCCTGGAGAAGGCAGAGTACCTTAGAGGACACGAATGTAGAAGAATCTCCCCCTCAGAGAGCCTCCCAAAAGATCTTCTTAGGTCGTAGAAGGAGAAAAGTATAATAAGCTTGCAGCAACTGTGTGATCTCCCTTACACGCCTTTTCTCTAACAAAGCCCACCTTGTCCTTCCTCTAACAAACCCTAAAATCTTCTCAAAAGCTATCTCTCAAGGAATCCCTCTCTAATCATGTTCCTCTCTCTCAATCATATTCCAAAAAATAGAAACTTTGATACTTAAAACAGGCTATACGAAACCTTAAAATTTTCAAATTAGCTATTATTATCGTACAGTACGATACAACATCGTAAAGTATGATAAGTACTAAACAACCTTCGTCCTGGTACAAAGATTTATGAACAGGAAAATTTTTTTAATATAATCATACAGTATGATTTAAACTCGTAATGTATGATATGTAAATCCTTCTGTTTGTACATGACGATTAATGGGATGACGAAAACTCATCTCTGCACATCGTATGGTATAAACCACCTCAAATAGTATGATTAGTTCAAAATCAAGGGATCATCCGATACGATGTCCGAGACGACCGAAAATAGCCTCGGTTGATTGTATAGTACAAATCGTGTCATACAGTACTCAAAAAGTAATCCTTGATTTATGTACTAATCATAAGATTAATTTAAGTAAGTATTCAAAAAGTATCGTATCGTACGATATCATCATATAGTACGATTAGATCAAAATTTTTGTATTAAGCACTTACATAAATTAATTTGGCGGCTAGGGTTTTTAAATAAAAATACATCATATAATATGATATTCATCGTACAGTATGACTTGTTCACAAATAGTCGTCTGAGCTAGATCAGATTGTATAGTATGATTTAAACTCATACAGTACGATCAAAAGAAAAAAATTTCTTTATTTTTAAAACCCTCTCCCGCTGTGTGTGTGCATGGTTTCTCAGTCTTACATACAATTTTTAGCCAGACTCAAGAAAAGAAAAATAAAAATAAATGAAAAATTATAATATTATAAATTCCAACTCCTACTCTACCCAGTCTTGAGTCTTCTCATTGTTTTGAGTAACTTGTCATCTACCTTAAATATTAGGAGCAGAAATAAAAAATATTCAATGAATAGTAACTCATTCGACATTATTTGTCATCATCCAAATCTTAGACTAAAGGTCATGGATTTCAACATATAATGGGTCAAAGATTAGGTGATAGGGAAGATAAAGCGCCTACTACTATGATTGAAACAGGATGGAAATTAGGATAGTACCATGGGGTACACTCCATCAGTAGTGGGCCTAATCTTAAGGAAAGGGAGGACCTAATCCTAAGGAGAAGGAAAGTGAGCTTGAATATCGAGAAGTACCAGAGAGCATGCACTACAGGAAACCCGCTATTACCGACGGATTATATCCGCCGGTAACATGTGAAATCCGACGAAAATCTAGGTTTCCGGCGCACTTTCCGGCGGAATGTCGTGTGCCGGATTGGTTCACGTCGTAAAAGGACTTCCAGCGTAAAATAATCTGCCGGAAATGTTTCCAACAGATTTTCGACGAATCTTCTGCTGGAAAAATATTTCCGTCAAAATTTTAATACGCCGGAATTCCAAAAAAAAAATTCAATGTGTGAACATTTTTTAAAATTAATTAATTTAATTTAATAATAAAATAATGAATTAGTTAAAATGTCGTCGGAAAATATTTATTTTCAATAAATTAATTTAACAATACATTATTAAATTATTTAACTTAATTTAACTAAATAAAAAATCTAAATTTTATTATTAATAATTTTTTTAGAATTTTTTAATTTCCGTCGGAAATCCGTCGGAAATGTCGTCGGAAACTCTGCCGGAAAAAATCCGACGGCAAATCCGTCGGCAAATTCTGTCGAAAAAATAGTCAGAAAAATTTGACCTTTATCCGTCGGAAATGTGGGGAAAGATCTCCAGAAACAATTCCGCCGAAACTCCGCCGGAAAAATCCGTCGGTAATGGACAGTTTTCCTGTAGTGATGTTGATTTGATTTAAAACATGAGAAAAAGGAAATGAGAAATCTTATTGATTGATAAGTCGAGCTACATCAAGCATAATATTTCTTAAGGAAACACCCATTAATATGAATTATTGGGTGGTTTCCCATATAGTCCACTAACTGATATGAGTCTCCTTCATAGATAGTCTCAACAACATATGGTCCTTCCCAAGTTGGTTCAAACTTTCCACCAATCTTTTAATGAGCTAAGATAGGCCTCCGAAGAACCATGACCAAGTCTCCTACTTGTAAGGTTCTAGGTCCCACTAACTTATCATGAACTTGAACCATATGGGCCTTATACAACTCTAGACTCTATTGAGCTTGGAGACGTTGCTCTTCAAGGCCTTCAAGTTCTTCTAACATGAGTTTTGTATTTTTGGTCAGTTATGATTTGATTTTAAACTGCCACTCTGAGGGATGGAATTTGTATTTCTAAGGGGACTACGACCTTAGACCCATACACTAGTACAAACGGAGAGGATTGGGTTGAGGTTCTATAAGTCTCTAATAGGCCCACAAAGCCTCCACCAACCGCTCATCCCATTGTCGTCTATTATCATTGAGGTCTTTCTGATAATCTACGCCAAAGTCTTATTAAAGGCATCAGACAACTTATTAGCCCGGGGATAATTGACTGTTGAGTATCTCCAATCAATATTGTGGTGTCTTACAAAATTATTGATCTTCATAGATTTGAATACAAACCTAATAATAGATATGATTCTACGAGGTATGCCAAATTGTATATGATATGATCACAAAAGAACTTTAAAACAAGGTGGGATGTTATATTATATATGGGGATTGCTTTTGCGCATTTCAAAAAGTAACCAGTCATAGCTAATATGAAGTGATAACCCTTCAAAGAAGGAGGGTCAATGGGCTCGATAACATCCATGCCACAACTTTGAAGGGCCATGAAGCTATCGTGGGGTGCAACACATTATGTGGCTAATGCAGAATGACACCATCAACTTATCATTGATGATAACATTTTACAATATTCATGTAACTGTCAATCTCTATAGGCTAGTAGTATCCAAGTCTTTTGATTCTCAACTTCATTTTTGGACCCAATTGATGAGCACCACATAATCTAGAGTGGACTTCATTAATAATCTATAGGGCCTCTTATTTATTTAAATAATGTAGCCACATTTGATCGAATGATAAATATTATAACATATTATTGACTAGTGCATATGATATGGCACATTCTTAACTTGGTTAGCGATGGATTTTTCCAGGGGAAGTTTTCCCTCTTGAAGATAATCGATCAGCAATTATCTCCAGTTGCCTTCTTTATTAGTTGTGGAAGAAGCAAAAAAGATATGGGGAGATTTCTTGGCAATGTTCTCCAAATCTATAATGGAAAGGGGCTTATGACCTTAAATCTCTATAGGGATGGAGTCTTCTTCCAAACATGCAAATACTTTTACAAGCTTTGCTAAAGCATCCACCGAAGAATTTTCCCCACGAGGAACCGTATACAAAGTCACAACAGAGATTTGCTCGAGTAAGTGTGTAGTGTATTGATGGTATTTCATGATATTAGGATTCAAAATCTTATAGGTTCCTAAAAACTAGTTGATCAACAGTTAAGAATCACCAAAAAAATTAATCTCTTTAATCTCCATTGAGATTACACTTTCCAAATTGGTTATCAGAGCTTCATACTCAGCTTCATTATTCGTGTAAGGCTCTAATAAGTGGTAAGGAAAAATGCATTATTCCCTTTTCCGGTGTTATAAAAATTAAGCCAATTCGGGTTTTTCTGGGAATTGTAGATTTTTGGTTTGTGCTCCATCAAGAGGATGTTGCACCATCAAAATATAATTCCTAGATAGTGTCTTAAAATTTCCTTAAACTCATGATTTGTTCGTCAGGTAGATCATCATATAAAGGAGAATCCACCGACACTAGGTGTACCGCAAGGAAGTCGGCAACAGTCTATCCTTCCATAACACACAGAGGAATAAAAGTAATCTCAAATTGGAGTAACATCATAGACTAACAAACTAAACATCATGACAACGTAGGTAGGGTCATAAGATATTGTAAAGGGATAACACTATAAATCAAACTAATTGAATGAGAAAGCATGTAATGCCTTATCTTTTATGCTGCAAAAACTCAGGCAAGACAATATTTCTTGATTGAAGGGTATCAAATTTTAGTAGGCAGGAGTCTTCGGCTAAGGTAATATAGAGCATTCTCTTTTCCATCATCATTGACTTGAGCTAAGAGGGAACCTAAGGACTCATATAGGTCCACAGTATAAAGGATCAAAGGTTTCTCTAGAAAAGGGGCTACTAGGAATGGCGGATTAGAAAGATATTGCTTGATGTTAGTAAAGGCATTCTGACACTTCTCATCCCATATGAATTTAGCATCCTTTTTTGCTAGGAAGGACAAGGATTGACATCTCCCAAAATGGTTGTAGATAAACCTCCTTATATATGACAACCTACCTTGAAGAGACCTTGATTGAGTAAGGCTCTTATGAGGTGGCATATCTAGGATGGCTTCAGTTTTGGCAATATCAATCTTGATTCCATGGTTCCTCATTATGAATCCTAAGAACTTTACTGAAGTGACATCGAAGGAATACTTTAGAGGATTCATTTTTAACTTGTAGCGGCGCAATTGCTCGAAAATGAATCTTAAGTCATAAAGGTGAGCCTCTTTAACCTTGCTCTTGACAACTAAATCAGTGATGTAACACTTGACCTGATTGTGGGTTAAGTCATCAAAGATATGAGTCATTGCCTGTTAGTAGGATGCACCAGTATTTTTGAGGCCGAAGGGCTTCACCCTATAACAAAAGATTCTTATGAGAGTTTTGAATGTAGTGTTTCTCTCATCTTTTAGGGACATCCTGATTTCATTATAATTGGATGGTCCATCCATAAAGTAGAAAATAACATGCGAAGAGGTAATGTTCACCATGAGTTCAAGTATAGGCAAAGGAAATTCATTCTTGGGATATGCCCTATTCAAATCCATATAGTCGATACAAATTCAAATTTGACCATTTTTCTTTCCATCTGGCATGACGCTGGCCACCTAAGAGAGATATTATTCCTCTCGAATAAACCCACACTCATTTAACTTCTAAATTTCATAAATAACTTGTTGCTTAATCTCTAAATGCATGCATCGATGAGCTTGTTTAATAGGAATGGAATCATGTTAAATTCCAAGTTTATGGATTGCTACATCAGCGGATAGCCCCGGTATTTTGTCGTAGGTCAAGGCGAAGCAATCCCTAAACTCGGATAGAAGCTGAATTAGATTTTGAGACTCATCCTCACTCAATATGGCACTAATGAAAATGGGGTGAGGGTTATCGTTAGTTCCCAAGTTGATTTCCTCAACTCATCGACTATCGACTTAATTTCTTCCCCAAATTCAGGGGGTGCATTCAGAACTTGAAGTTCATCAGGATCGTCTAAAGTCTCCAAATAAAGTCTATCGAGGGGACCAATGACATTAATAGGGATATTCTGAGATTCAAGATAGTAAGTTATCATTAAATAGTATTCATCATCATCAAACAAACTAATGAAAAGCTGATACCACTTGTTAGAATTTTCTTAATTTTTATCTGCCAAATATTCTCATGGGATCTAGCTTGACCCTTTTATCAATATGGTACAGGGCCTTTAAAGAAAGAATTTTTTATACAAATAGGGAAGTAGCCAAAAGGTAATTCCATTAACTCATTAAAATTTGCTTCCTCGAGGGTTGCATCACTTTCATCCCTTGAGGAGGATGATCCCAAAAACAAAATTTCTAGACTTTCTTTACTTTAACATTATGGTTGGGGGCCTCTTTAATCTCTTGCCCTGCAATGATGCCAGCTGATAGTGGGGTTAAGGAAAGGGCCTCAATCCTTTTACTGAGCTTTTCATACATTATTAATTTTGACTCGTCACTTTCAACCTTTGAAACATCAACCTCAGGGTCACTGTCCTGATCTAAAGTGAGATCAAACTTTGGAGGAGTATTTGTAGTCTGGTAATTGAAAGGAATCAAAACACTCTGTCTTTCTGACTCCTCATCAGAACTTGATTCTGGATCAATGTATACTGGGGTTATTCTTCTTTCAAATGAAGCATAACTACGACCATGTGCCCTTAAATCCATTCTCCCCCCTCTTTGAGGCAACATGTTTGGAGGATTAAGGATAATGATATCGAGGTCATTTTCACTACCTAATTCTATTATTTCTTGGTCTTTTTCCTTTTCTATTTCTTTTTTTCCTTTTCTATTTCTTTTTCTTTTGTTTCTTGACTTTGGTTGGAACCTTGTCCACCTAATTCCTCCTTAACTTTGATCTCAACTTTATAACGAGATGAGGATCCTTTTGGTATAAAATATACAGCATCCTTGTTTATCCCAATTTCATGAATTGGGAATGGTTGCAAATCACCCCTAATCATAAATTCAATGTCGTCTCGTTGATACTTGATGCATTGGTGTAGGGAAGATGGAACCAATCTTTACTCATGAATCCAAGGCCTACCTAGGAGCATGTTAAAGGACATTATCAAATTAATATATAAAATTTCACTTCAGTTGTTAACTCTCCTATCTCTAAAAAAAGTGTAATTGAACCTAAAGCATTCTCACCCTTTTTATTGAACCCACGAAGCACTAACATTTTGGTTGAGATCTTGCTAGTATCAATTCTAAGGTATGCGAGAGTCTTTATGTTCATTACATTGACCAATGCACTTGGATTTACCAAAACTCTTGATAACTTAAAATTGCCCACATCTATGGTAATGTAGAGCTGGCGATTGTGGTCTACAGTTCCTAGAAGTAGATCTTCATCTAAAAATGTCACCTTGAGGATTTCTTTGAGATAGAGTGCATCCTCTTTTGAACTTGAAGCCAACTAGGCTAAGCAAATATCGGGATTGAGTAGTACCTTGATTAAGGATTCCCTCATTTCTTTGGAGAGAAGGAGGGTGTCATAAATGCTCAATTTGGTCAACAACTTCCTAAGATGTGCTAAAACATTATAATTAACCTTAGGAACAATATATTCAAAACCTAGAGGAATTAAAAGAAAATCTGATTATTGAGGAGAATTTGGATCTGGATCATCATAGATAGGTTATTTTCCCTTATCTTGAGGGGGAAGCCTAGGGAGCAAGACCTTACCACCATGAAGTTGCACTTGCTTGATATCTTTGGGAGGGCAAACTAAGGTGGTTTCTGCACTCATCATAAGCATTGGATTATCATTTCCTGAAAGGGAGTTAGAATTTGAAAAGTCTATCATAATAGGACTTCCCTCAAAATTAATTTGAGGGAAGTCACTTTTTGATAAGGCTTCAAGTTCAACATCTCCTTGAAAGATTAATTCATTAAGGTCGGATTGTTTAACAATCATATTGATCTTGACAGAATTTTGACTTGGAGGAGAAGAAACATCAACTTGCATTTCAGACTCATGGTTAATCATCAAAACAAAGGTAGAAGGATATTTATTATTATTTTTTTAACCATTTTCCTTTGATGGGGCAAAGTAAAAGTCTGATAATATGAGAGGGGAGGGTTTGTACACCACCATCCATCACTCGAATACATCTCTCATCTACATATTTCCTCTCTATAAAAACATCTCTCTTTTTTTCTTATTGTACAGTAGTTCCTATGACTATTAAAGAGGGAAGAAGCTCAACATCCTCCTGTGAAGCATCCAAGTTAACCTCCCAAATCGGGCCTTGTGCTATCGTGGTAAGATGTTTAAAAAGATGAAAGAACTTGTTAATTAACCTTTTAAATTGCCAAGGACAAAGTAATGTCCCAACTATCTTCAATGGACAGAGAACTGTTAAGACTGTTACCTGAGATAGTTTTGTTTGAAGCTTGTTTCGGATCTAGCAGATATTCTTTAGGGATGATGATATTACCTTGCCCGAGTTTCCTTTCTAGCAAGTCTTTAAATACTAAATAATCCTCAAGTGGGTGATCGAGCATGCTGTGGTAAGGACAGTAATTGAGATCATCTTTCTTATCTACCTCTTCTGGCCTTCTAGCTTCAAGCAACTGAAACTCTGGCTTTTTTTTAAGACTATTAAAGATCTTTCTTAGTTACCCTCTCTTAAATGGATATGGTTTGGCTAACCGCTCCTTCAGAAAGGTCAAATAAGATTTCCTAGGAGGTTGAGAAGTAATCTTAAATGGTTTTTTTAAAATTTGTGGTGGGGGAGGAACACTAGGATGACTGATAACTGGCCATTTTCCTTTACCAACTACTAAGATTGTAGCTTTCTTCTAAAAAGATTTCACCATCTTAGAACCTTTCTTTTCTTCAGACTAATCTTTTAAGAATGGCATCCTAGGAGCCTCTTCCCACAAGTTGCTAGCCTTGTTTAGAAGTTTCTCAAATGTTTTGATCATTAAATCCTTCATGAGAAAAGAAATTGGGCCAAGGATATTCTTTAGAAGGATCTCTACAACATGTTACTCTTGCAACTGGGGTTCACACTTCATCGAGAGGTTTCGCCACCTCAAGTGTATTCAACCAAAGACTCCTCTGAATTTTACTTTTCAATTACTAGATCACCCACTGTGGTGTGGTGCTGCACTCAAGAAAATCACTTTAAGAATAGATTTTCTAATTCATTAAAGGTTCTCATTAAACCGTTGGGCAGATTGGTATACTATTCAAAAGCAATGCCTGAGAAACTACTAATGAACTGACGAAATATCAGAACATCTAACCCTCCAGCATTTCAATAACTTACTCAGAAGTGGGCAAGATGTTATCTTAGGTTTTCAATACTAGTAAAAATCTTAAAAGATAGTTGCCCAAATACCTTAGAATAAGGAACCAACTCATATTCTTTGGGGTAAGGTCTACCCTTCGGAATAGATGTAGTTCCTTGCGAAAGGGCTAAGGCATCTCTTACCTGATCTTTAATGAGTTGCTTAAAGTATTTTTGGGATAGTGCAAGAGAAACTATAAGAACTGTAGGTTGGACTGGAGGTGTCTATGACAAACAGGGAGGGACTACTGGCACTGAGTCAGGAACTTTAGAACTGAATTATGCCTTTTTAGCCTTTTTGGAGATTTATCAAGTAGATTATTGTAGTTTCAGAGAGGCCTCTTGTGACTTGTATAGTTATTCTTGCATTTCTTTAACTTGTAACAACATGTCTGCGACCTGTGTCTCCAGGTTCTTTATATGCTTCTCATCTCTAGTTATTACTAACTAATCAAAATCTAACTCAACTGCAACTAAACCTTCCTCTTTACTAGATTAGCATTTGCTTGGTTCAATTTCCTTGTTAGATCCTCCAGTCGCAACCATACAAATACTATCAGTGGGTTCATCCTCTCTTTTTGTTTTAGTTAAAACCCACAAAAGGGCCTACACATTAATATTAAAAAAATAGTTACAGAGTCCTTACAGATGACCAACGCTTCACTAATGCTCTTACGTGCTACAAAATAAAGCAAAAGAAAACCTACAAGCCAATTATCACCACTAATCAAAAATACAAGGCACCTTAATAACATGCTAACGATGCTATAGACAAGCATCCAAAAAAGAAAGATAGTATGATTACAGTAAGGCCCAATCTTTCTGCAAAAAAGGATGAAGACAGCCTAAAGCAGTTTCACTTGTAAGAAAGAAATGCTACACCACAACAAAACAAATTTTAAATAATAAACATAAAAAGAATAGCAGGTAGCAACCAAGAAATCAAAGGAAAATCTTATCCAAGTAAAGCCAGTCTCAGAA